CACCACCCTCCGCTTAAAAAGCATGTAAAAAGTTGTCGTTTATGTTAACTTACTTCCTTGGCTGGGGCGCACGTGGACCCATTGCCAACACATCCAATCCAGGTATTCTTTGGTCGTCTTCTAGATCTTTTGCCATCTATAAAGTCTGCAACAGTCACTCTAAGTACTGCGACATCTTGTGAACGTCTAAACACTTGTCAAGTCCCTCTACCCCCTAAATCAATAGTTCACTAGTCTTTGGGATCACAACACGACTTACCAGCATGTGATTCCTACGTGCTTGACGTCATAAGTTAATGACTCCCAGTTACAAAAATTAGACAGTATGTTGTCAGCTCTATTTGCCATTACTTTACTCAAGCTAGTTAATTTTCTAACCTCAAAATCATTTTCAATCATTTTTCATGCAGAATAAACATCGCTGACCACCACTAAATGGCGATGACATGAAAAATTATCCTTTTCAGTCATTCGTGTCCTTTACCTTGACAGTAAAAAATGTTGCCTTGTCACTTTCCTTTATCATGAAATATTTAGAATGTTATTTTTTAAAATTAATAATTCAGATCTATTGAGTTCCCACAAAAAACTTCCATATGCTTTGTAAATAAAATCGATTATTCGCTTGTTAGTTTTGTAATTGGGTGTAGTTTAGGAAAATATTCAAGGACACTATATGTTTGTTTTGTGTTGTGGAACATGGAATATGGTTCTTATTCATTTTTTATTCCACTTTTGATTTGATTGAATTTTGTGGCTAGTTTATAGAGCTACATAGGGCATCTTACTCTAGTCTCAGGGAGGTGCTTCGGATAGCCCTAGAAACAGATCCCTTAGATACTCCAATCTATCTAAGAGTTTCTTTGCCGGGATCTTGATCGTCTAAGGAATCTGTTGAACCATATTCTAGTCAAATTTAAACGTTATTGATGCCAAAGCAAGTGGTACAGTCATTTTTGGCTCCAGGGCACTCAGAGTAGCCTAGCTAAAGACAGTACCCTAGTGAAACTTTCTTCTATGTAATTTTAAAGATTCAACATAGCAAGGATCAAATTTATTATGTCAAAAGGATTTTATCATTTTTAATCTTGAATAAAATGTATGCAATATAAACTTTTCGATTAATCCCTCTCAGCTCTTCCTTTTTTTCTCATTTTCTGCTATGATGCACTTATGCAATTCGTATGTAACATAGAACATTTTATCACTGTAGCTTATGTTATGCAACAAAGCATATTAAAATAAAATAATGGACATAAAACGAGAGAAGGAGAGAGAAAAATGATAATAAAAAATCGGGGCAGTGGAAAGCATTTAAAATGACACAACATATTTACAATCTGCAGTTTTGTGGCGACACAACCAAGCAAAGATATGCATGGAAGTCCATAAAGTTTGAAAGTTAGATAACAACTTTCGAATCCTATAAATTGTATTTTCCTATTTTGTTTGTTGTACCCTTTTTCTGTATGCTGCATATACACACACATATAATTTTCCCCATAATTTTTTATGCTGCTTCTTTTTTTGTGTTGCAATTGCAACAGCACAAACAAAACTGCTTACACAATTCATTAAAATTAATTTACTTTTTGCTGGAAAATTTTGTGCTTCGTTCTCTACTCATTTCAAGCATTAAATTAGTGCTTTTGTTGTTATGTATGACTTATGTTGTTTCAACTGCTGCTGTTGCTGTTTCATGTGGCAAAAAATTAATTCATTATTTTCTTATAGAGGAGGAGGAGGTAGCTTAAAAATTATTTATATGAAATACACAAAAAATAAAATATGAAATTTTCAGAATATGAGGCAAAAAGAGAACAAATTAGTTTTGCCATAAATGTGTACATACATTGTTATTTTTTATTTTGTGGTATGAAATTTTCATTGTATGATATTAATAATTGTGAAATGCAATTTGTCATGTGATGTAATTATATGTAATGTTCATAAATTATTTTATTTTCACTCATTTATGACTACAAACTCGAAACTTTATCCTTTTCAGGTTTTTGAAGGAAAATTAAATTAAATGCTGCTTATCATATTTATATCGTAAAGTTCTTTTCTATTGCTTGAATGTTGATTTTATTTTTAATATAATTACAGCTTTAAAATTTGGATGCATTAATTGAGTTAAAAAAAATTTGCAGAAAATTTCAAAATTTTCAGTAAATTTCTTTAAGATTAATGGAAGAAATTTATCCTTAAAACCAGAAAATTGATAGCTTTGTAGATAAAATTGGTAACATTAAATCTCAGAACTTTTTAAAGGGTCAAAAAAAGAGTTGAAACTTTTCATACATTAGGGAGTTCTAAAGGATATCTGTCCCATTGACCTTTAGAGACTCCCTAAAGGATCATTTGTAGTTCATTAAAATACAGGAAATGAACTAAAGTTACAATGAATGGAGAAGGAGGCATGAAAAATTGGATATAATGTCAAATGAGAAAAAGGTTGAAGGCAAATTTTTTAAAGCTAATTTAAAGCATGAAGATTTAGAAAAAAAACTCAGGTGACACTAAATACTAGATTGTTTGAAAAGTTTAATTGAGTAAAAAAATTATTTTATTTTAAATTAATGAAAAGGGGACTTTGGAATTATTCATAAATGACGTCTTTCAAATTTTTTTGACACCCCTGGATTTCCAAACAAAATTTTTCATATTCATGTTTACAAAGAAACAGGCCTCCTGCTTGTATAAAACTTGGTCACAACTTTTTATGCGTCTTTAATTAATTTGAAAAATATAAAATTTCCTTAAAGAATGTCAAGAGATCCAGGAGTGTAAAAAAAATGCTAAGGACTTACTGCACCCCTAAAATGATCTAAAGACATAAAAGCGGGAGTTGAAAAATATTCCATAAATCTATTTAAGTCTTAAATTATAGGTCGACATTAAAATGGGATGTTTGATTGTCTTATTATCTTCAATGAACGTGTGTAAGTCTTTATAAAGTGACAATATGCTTATCAAAAAAGGATTTTATTTCCAATTACACAAAGACATTTGAAGGAGGAAGGAGAAGTTTTAATCTTTTCAAAAGACATGACTTAATCCTGTAAAATAAATATTTACGAACGAAAAATGAAGTCATTAATTCGTCTCTCCTTAAAATGTAGTGGCAAACGAAATGGAAACGGAAGCTTATAACTTTAACTCTATTGAGTCAAAAATCCGAGACTTACATACTGAAATGAGTAATAGAACATAATTAACAAAAGAAAATAAGTCAAAAAGTCAAAAGATTTTGGATGTGGGGTTAAAAATTGTATCTCAAATTCCTCTGGCTATGCATCTACTATAAAGTATTAATACAGACAAAAGCATCAGCAAATTTTCAAAATATTTCAATATTTAACTTCACATTACAAAAACAAGGAGTATGAGTGTCAGCATAAAGAGATATAAATTTTAAAATAAATTTACTGGAAGGAAAATTAAGCAAATTGAACATAAATAACACAAAAAAAATGATATTAAATCCCCTCAAACTCCATTCATTGCTTCCACATCCCTTAAAAATAATTTATGGCGAAAAAATGTTCTTTCTTCTTTTTCTTCTTCTGTTGCAAATAAAAAGTTATTTAAGCATTATTATTGTTATTATCATGCGATATGGTGTGAAAGAAGTGGAAGTGTCTATCCATATAAAGGCTTGAATATGCTGCTCTATGGAATTTTTTTATGCATTTTTATTTGAGACGATATCATAAAAGTTGTAATTAATTGCTTTTGTCTGGAAAAGTCTTGCTATTGCCTTTCTATCTTGACTCTTTTTTCTTCATATTTGCTGAGTGTGGATTTCCCGAAACTATTAATTTTGAATTACAGCTAATAAAAGGTTAAAGTTTTCCTGCAAGCTTAAGTTCATTAAGGGTGCATGTTATTTTCATGTTCTTGAATACTTGATGGAATGTGCTCGCTATTTGAACTCAAGACAATATTTTATCTGCTGCACGTTTTAAAATTTATTCTCAACTTATGTCGTTTGGATGGTTTTTCTTCATAGGAAATATTTATTTCAGCTTTTTTGCCCCTCAATGCAAATAAGGAAAAATAGAAAAGTAGAAAAGATTATTTAATGCTTCATCTTTTTTTGCTTGTTTTTATCTTTTTCATTTTTCGTTCTACACATTACTCTATGCATAGTCAGAGGTGTAGCTAGATATTTTTTGAGGTTAGAGGTTTTTGAATTTTTGGGATACTTCAGAAAGATTTGGGGTTTTGATTTATTTCAACACATTATAGCGACTAGAATAGATTTTTTACCTTAAAGAAGTTTGTGATCCTGCATCTGGTTATGCTAGCCGGGTATGTTCGTTATAGCTTCTTCAAAAAAAATCATTTCTTGTTGACAAAAATAAATTTATTTTCGGACAACCCTGGTCCAGAAAAAAATTGAAGCCTAAATGTCCCTAAGTACCCCTCCCCCCAAAAACCAGGCCAGGCATTAAAGTACAAATAATGAACATGAATGAAAATTTTTTTTTCATCTTCCTTTACATTTTCATCCATCTCAAATCTTTCGGAAATAATTCCAATGATATATTTTTTTGGCAGAATGAGAACGAAAAAAAAAAAATAAATGAAAAGGTGAAAAATTAAAGGATCCATGAAACGAAATATTTCTTCCACTTGATTTCCCTCGAGAGTGCAGAAAGTGCAAAAAAATGGGATTTTCTTATTTGTATCCTCATTCCTTCCATCATCAATTTTTCATGTCGATGAAATTCATGAATAAAAGTTGAAGTGTGATTTAAATTGAGTTGAGTTCAATATTTATTGGATTTTTTTTTTCATCCGTTCGCTGGTTGTGAAAGCAACAAAACAACATACAAAAGCTTTTTTTCATGAATTTCAATTTTTTTTTGTTCGAAATGGAATAAAAAGCTTTGCCTTGCTTTGCATTATGGTATTTTTTTTCTTCCTGATAAATGTTTAATGCCTCTTATTTTGATATATACTATTTGTATTGTAAATGTGCATCACGAATAATGCCAGCAAGTAAGAGAAGTTTCTAAACTTTTTGTAAGTCTGAATCCAATAAAAATCCTAACTTTACCCACTGGCATTAAAAAGTGAATAAGATTTTCATGAATTTCTTATTTTTCCAGCTGAAGAAATTTGTATGAAAATAGAGCAGTACTCGAATACTCAAACGAATGAGAAAAATAAATAAAGAGATCAAAAAAATCTTTTTCGCTTAGATTACGTCCATTGAGAAAAAGCAATAAGAGATTTGACTTGAAAAACCTCAGCCAAATCAACAAACAAACAAAATTTAACGGTTCTTGTATAAATGAAGTCAAATATATCATTACAAAAGTAAATATAACATTAGTTCTGAGTAATTATGAGAAATATATGTCATGTTAGCAATCAGGGATCATTCACTTATGATGTCCATAATTTAAATTTAAACATCAGAGATTTTATGACACCCAAAAAAAGAAAGTTAAAAGAAAATTCCAAAAAATCAAATTTTATGATGGAAGTCACTTGTAAATGACCCCAAACTACAATTAAGTCATGCTTCGTGCAGACGACAAGAAGTCAAATGAATTGGCTCACAACAGTGACGAGACATCATGAATCTTAATGAATCTCATGACGTATGAAGGTCGCGTTCTTCATTTGTTTTCATTTTCTTGTATTTTTGGATCATTATTAAGAATGTCATTAGAATCACAATTTTTTTTTGTTGTTGTAAAGTTCTTGAGCGTACTTCAAACGGATTTTTAATATTCTTGACCAGTTACTCTTATTAGTATGACATAAGTCAAAGTCGTGAGTCGTTTGACGGAATTGAATTTTGAGTGAAAAAATTATTCTGTGGTTTAGTGATTTATAATGGAAAGCTTTGACGATTTTACTTTGAATTTTGTATCAATTTCTTCAACATTCATTGCTCTTTATGCTGTTTTGTGGTGGTGCAGTGATCACTTGACATCTCTTGTAGATTTTGTAGTTTATTTTTGTACCGATTATATGTTTTATAAAAAAGGTTCACAATCATTACAAGAAAAATTTGGACTGTGGGCAGGTAAGTTGTGGTTTATAAATGGGGCCGTTCACTTATTACGTTACGCAATTTTTACACTCCCCCCTTGTTACAATATGTTAGAACTCACAACCCCCCCCCCCCCCCCTGAACGTTCATAATTTATTTTATCATTAAAAATGTTTTTGGTGTGAATTTGTACTTCTTGACACCCTCCCCCCCCCAATCATATGTTACATTTTTTACAATTTTGTTTCAAACCCCCCTCCCCCCTAAAATGCAAGCGTAATGATGTTCAGCTTTTAATGACATAAAAGTTTAAAAATCCAAGTTTCTGGAAAACATTATTTGTGAATGACCCATAAAAATTAAAACCTTCACTCTTTTGTTATTAAAGTGGTTACTGGTGCAACTGATGGAATAGGGAAGCAATATGCCATCGAACTAGCCAAGAAAGGAATGAATATTTGTTTGATTTCAAGATCAGAGACAAAACTCATTGAAGTTGCGAACTATATTGGTAAGACAGTGTGATCTTGAGCCGGTTTCTAAAGCTACCGAGTGTATTTTAGCTCTGAGTTGTAGATTGAGGCTCCTTCAGGGAGCCCTAGAAACCGACCCATGGATTCGCTTAAAATCTCCTAAAAATTGACAAAAAATATGAAAATTAATTTTCAGAACAAAATCAAAAAGTGATTACAAAATTCATCGTAGCTGATTTTTCAAAAGGAAAAATAATTTATGATAAAATAAGAACGCATCTTGATCCACTGGATATAGGAATTTTAATTAACAACGTTGGTGTCATGCACGAGTGTCCAGACGAATTTGATGAATTATCAGAAGATTCAATATGGGAAATGATAAGCGTTAACATTGGAGCTGTAACAATGATGACAAAAATAATTATTCCAAAAATGAAGCTTAAAAATCGTGGATTAGTGCTTAATGTGTCATCTGGAGCACATTGTCAGCCAATGCCATTAGCAGCTGTTTATGGGGCTACAAAAAGTTATACGAAAACTTTTACAATTGGTAAAATTAAATTAAAAATTCTGAAGTCATAAAAAATTATTTTAATGCTTTTATAGCTCTTAGGAAAGAACTTGCAGAATATAATGTGAAAGCTCACTTATTAATCCCAATGTTTGTGAGGACTAAGATGACTGATTTTACAACAACACCAAAAAGTGGAAATATTTTCTTTCCAAATGCTGAAAGTTACGTAAAAGCTACAATAAACACATTGGGATATTACTCTCAAACATGTGGATATTGGAACCATAATATTCAGGTATTTATTGAGCAATCATATTCTAAACAAATAATAAAAATATTTTGTAACTTCCTAGTACATATTACTTAACTTAATTCCGGAATTTGTTCGGGTATTTATCGCGCACAAAGTCAACAAAGTATTCAGGCAACAATATTACAATCAACAGAAGGTGAAGCAAATTATTTGATGTGTGAATAAAGATACAAGTGTTTCTAAGTCGATTTGTGTTAATTGTAAGCATGAAATTGAATATGTTTTTTTTTTGTCATTAGTTTCCTATTGTTTGTAATGGGATGTTTATTGAGAAGTTTGTACAGTTTGAAGATGCACGGTTTATATTATTTTATTTATTTTTAAGTACCGGTTGGGGATTATTCAATTATGATATCCATAATTAAGCTAATTAACTTGATTAGAAGACATATAAGTGATTCGTGGAGCATAGTTTAAGAATCACTGAATTTAGTGGAAGGGTCTGAGATTTTATGAAGGACGTCATAAGTTAACGACCCCTGATACTCATCATCACAATCATAACGACACACAATTTTACGTTATGCGTCTATACGACCAACAAACGTGTCTTTGTAACATCAATAGATTAATTAAAATAAAAAAACCAAAAAAACCTGATTTGCAAGTTCATCCGAAAATGATACAAGTCAGCATTGGAGGTATGATTGCCTGCTTTGCATTTTATTGGAACCGTGTTTAGAGCTAATAAATATTTTTTGACAACACTGGAAACGTTTCATTTTAGAAATCCGCAGTCTAAAGTATCTTGTTCAAAACAGTTGTCATTTCTTACAGCTGGTGAATAGAGTCACTTTACTTTTTAAGATAAATAAAAGTGTGTGATTTAATGGAAGTATTTAGTGAAAATATTCGACTATTCACGTCGATTATTGGAATTTATGCAATAATTTGGTGGTGTTTTGAACATTTTGCATCATTATTTGAGTTGATTTACAATTCGATCAAGCCTTACATCAAATGCCAGTGTAAAAGGACTTTACAAATGCAATATGGACAATGGGCAGGTAAAAATAGTGAAAACTTGTATTTTTTTCTAATATCCATAAGACTATGCAGTGGTTTTGAAGTTTCATCTTGACAGTGATCAAGAAAAACCAGTTTTGATGCCTAATTTGCAAACCAAATGAACATAATAGTATCAAGTAATATTTGCTTTTTGAACTCTTGCTTTACAATCTAACTCTTACATCATAGTCGTTACGGGTGCAACTAGTGGAATCGGAAAGTATTACGCTTTAGAACTTGCGAAAAGAGGAATGGATGTTTGTTTGATATCAAGGTCAGAAGAAAATCTGATTTCACTTGCTCATGAGCTAGGTAATTTTTGGTTCATAATTTATAAAAACCAGGGGGAGAACAACCCTTTGTAAAATATTTTATTTTTAAATTTTACTTCAACTTTACAATTTTTTTGAAAAATAATTTTCTTTCAAAAATATTTGGAATATATTAATAATAATATTTTACATGAAGTTGTTCTCCCCTTGATTAAAATAAACATTTTAACAAATAATTTTTTCTTATCATTAGAAAAATTTGATGTTTCAACAAAAGTCATTGTTGCTGATTTTTCATACGGAGCATCAGTTTATAATAACATTGAGTTGCAGCTCAAAGATCTTGATGTTGGAATTCTGGTAAATAATGTCGGAACTCATGAAGATCCCGATCATTTCGATAAATTGTCACACGAATCATTGTGGAGAATGATCAATGTTAATGTTGGAGCTATAACTTTTATGTCTAGAATTGTTATCCCAAAAATGAAGATCAAAAACAAAGGATTAATTTTAAATGTTTCATCTGGAAGTCAATATCAGCCAACACCTTTACTGGCTCTTTATGGTGCCACAAAAAGTTACACTAGAAGCTTGTCAATTGGTAAAAAAATTGAATTTTTAAAATTTTCACTTTATTAATCACATTTATGTCTTCAACAGCTTTAAATAGAGAACTTGTTAATTTTAATGTCAAAGTTCATCTGATAATCCCATTTTATGTCAAAACCAATATGACACGCTACTTAAATGTTCCAGATAAAGGAAATATATTGTCTCCAAATGCAAAGGTTTATGTAAAATCCGCAGTTAAAACGCTTGGAAAGTGTACACATACAAGTGGATATTGGTGCCATAGTATTCAGGTAATATTAACTTTATTTATTAAGAAGTGAATGAATTTTTTTATGATTTTATTTCATTTGACAGTTCACGCTATTCACAACACTTCCTGAGTTTGTGAGAGTTTTTTTGACTCACAATTTCCACAGTAAACTTCGTCGACGACGACAAAGTCTCTTAAAAACTCAAATAAAGGCATATTAGGCATCAAATTAACTTTATAATAATTTAATTGTTTGGCTATATTTAACACAACTCAGGATATTACTGCATAGTCTTATTTAATGTTAATAAATAAATTTTAAATAAAATCTAATGTCGATTAAGGGATTGCTCACTTATGACGTCAATCGAAAATGCGACTTTTGGACCCCCCCCCCCCCCTTTTTATTGATCTTTACCTTCTTCCTAAAATGAAAGACATCATAAGTGAATAACCCCCACAACTTTTATTTTGAATATTTCTTCTTAACACATTTCAAGTTGTAACTGGTGCTACAGATGGTATTGGAAAATGTTACGCCTTTGAGCTTGCAAAACGAGGAATGAATATTTGTCTTATTTCTAGAACGAAATCAAAGTTAAATGGAGTTGCCAGTGAAATCGGTAGCTAGTTTTAATTTCATTAAAAATCTCAAGTTCCAGAAAATTTAAATTTATCATTTAGAAAAGACTCACAAGGTTCTTACCAAATGCATAATAGCTGATTTTTCAAAAGGAGAATCAATCTATGAGGAAATAAATGAGCAATTAAAAGACGTCGACATTGGAATCTTAGTTAATAATGTTGGCGTCTCAAGCATTATTCCTGATAAATTTGAGAAAATGTCAGAACAATTTCTATGGGAAATGATCAATGTTAATATTGGTGCTGTAACTTTTATGTCAAAACTTATAATTCCAAAAATGAAAATAAATAGACGTGGATTAATTCTGAATGTGTCATCAGGAGGTCAATATACACCACAACCATTAATGGCTGTTTATGTTGCAACAAAATGCTTTGTGAGGAGCTTAACTGTTGGTACGTAACAAGCACTACCATTTTTTTATTTTTAATACAACATTTTTCATTATTAAGCATTGAATAAGGAGCTTTCGAGTTACAATGTAAAAGCTCATCTTTTAATTCCATCATTTGTAAGAACAAAGGCCATGCAATTCCCCATGATATGTAAATACGGAGGTAATATCTTTCCGGATGCAGAAACTTATGTGAAAGGAGCAATGATAACTCTTGGTAAATGCTCGCATACAAGTGGATATTTCTATCACATGATCCAGGTAGAATGCATGCTGATTGTGACTATTGAAGCTAAAATAATGACTTTTTCTAATGTTTTTAAAGTTTACACTTATCGATTTGGTTCCTGAACGCATCAGAATATATTTCTCTCATATAGCTTTCAAGAACGCCAGACAACAATATCTTGATGAGCAGAAAGTTAAGGAATCTTAGGAAGCAGTTTAAAGCTATTCTTTTAATTATGTACATAGGATTGACACTCGTTTCATGAAGATAAAAGATTCTTTTGTTCTAAATGAATACTTTTGAACAGGATGAAAAAAGTATGGTGTCGATGCCTTGATTATGTGGTATTGGAGCTGTTATAAATAAAATTAATTCTTAAACATTATATTAACATTGTTCATTTAATCCTTGGATTTGTGGGTTTGTTCACTTATAACTATTTACTTTTGTAGAGGAAGGGAAGAGAAGTGGACAGACAGGAGTGTATCAATAGGGAATAAATCGAAAATTCAACCCTTCCGCCCCAAAAGTTTGGTTTAAAAAAATCAATTTTCCACGTTATGTAATATGTGAATAACCCCAATGCCATCATTACCAGAATTAATTATGTCTAGACAGTTTAACAGCAAATTAATATGTGTTTATCTTATGCTTTAACGAAGGTAAGCTATCATGTATCTGATGATTTTACGAGTCATTCTATGATCAGCATTTCCTAGCTTCTAGCGTCTAGCTTCATCTTCCTTATAAACTAATGTGACACATTATGCCAACTCATTTTACACTCTTCTAAAATAGACAAAAGTGTATGTAAGCAGTCATCTTTATAACCACAAGGAAGTAATAATCATGAACATTCCCAAAGCTCTTATATGACGTGAGAAAAGTATGAAAATTTTTGAAAAAGATGACTGAAATTAGTTCATGGTAAGAACGATAACTTGCATGTTAAAAGTTTTCTAAACAAAACTTCAAGAGCATAAACTCTACAATGCATAATTGATATTACTTTCTATTAACTTACACTATATGTGTGTGAACGATGGAACCTTATACAAAATAAAGGCAAAACTTTCCTTAACAAAAGGAAAAAAAAAAGTTTTTCCTATAAAAAATTGAAACAGATACACTGAATGTAGTCTGAATGAAAAATTAATCATGAAACAGTGAAACAATTAAGTTTCATGTTAAAAGTAATTTTTGTGCTTACACAAGACTGAACTATTAATAGTTGATACAGGGAAAAAAAGTTTCATCGTACCGAAAATTAAGCGAACATTGATGTAAAGAATTTGTAGCATCTAATTAAAAGTAAACAGAATGATGAAGAAAAAAAAATTAATTAGTTGTGTGTAATAAATTCTATAACAGCAAAATTCTTCCGTTTTCTTTAAAAAAAAATATGCATGAACCTGCATGAACATTAAGGATGTAATAAGACACGCTCTTGATATAAAAATTTCATCAAACAAAAATAAAAACTTTAAGAAAGTTTCCTAACTCGATGCTAATAATGAGATTTATTATCTCAAATCTTTATGTGATATGTTGACTGATATCTTATGCTTAATCTTGTTATGTAAGCAAAATTATTATGCAAAACTATCTGATGTATTTTAATTAAGTTTCTGATTATCAGAGCAAATTTCGAACCTTTCAATCCTAATAAATTGAGTTTATTTTTAAACTTAATTAAAACTAAAATGTCAAAATTTAGTTTAATTTTTTCTTATCTTTCAAAAGCTCTATCCGTGCGAAATTTTGAATTTTATTTGATTATTTTAAGCAACAAATAATTTAATAAAGGAAATTAAAGATTTTTAAACAGGTGCCCCTATGTAAATGTCATTGAAGTGCTATTGAACCTGTCGAAAACATTACAAAAGCACTCATCATACTATCAAGGTCAAAAATTATAACCACATGTATGCAAATATCAAAAGGCTCATGAGGTTTGAGTGATTTAACTTGCAAATTCATTCGAGTGATTTTACATAAATAAAGTAAAATGATGCGGGTGTGGCCCATAAAATTTTATTATAATAACAATAATAGCCGTAAATAATATAAATGATCAATATATTTCATTTCAAAGAGAAAAACTTAGTTCCGAATGCATGGCTCATATTTTATTTATTTTTATTGAATTGATTGATACTTTCACATTGTGTCTCTATTCAGTGACAGAGTCATAGTCAGAAATTTCTCTAGGAATGTAAAATTAAGGAGGAATTTTTATTTTTTTTTGAAGAAGAAACTTGTCATCAAAGGGAGCGGAAGGGGGGGGGGGGAGGGAGGGTCATTGGTATTCATGAGATTTATTACTAGCTCATTATGCAGCAAATATAAATCGACTAATCTAAAAAACTCATCTTAATAGGAACCACAGTCATCATACTTATGAAATAAATAAAATTTGTATAAAATAATTAACATGGAACTTGTAGGCGTGGGACAGACATCATAAATCGTTATCATTCCAATAAATAAAGAGCCCAATTAAGATATTTCTTAATATTTTACTCAAATGTCCATGCATGTTGAAAATGTTTTGAGTCTAAAAATAGCTGTAATGTCGTAACTGTAGAAATAATCATTCTAGACTTCTATTCTACTAATGAACTTGTTTGGCAAAATCGTGAGGACAATTATCGCAATTCAGCCTATAAAATAGTTCTAGAGCATCACAATGAAGCAATTTACTATTTAAATCAACATCAGGTGGCACACCTTTATAGGAAAAAAAGGCAGCAACTGCCCCTCATAATGGCACCAAATATATTTTCATGTTCTACAATTTAGTTTGACTATTCAGCTTTGCAGTCATCTGTACACAACACGCATATTAAGTTGTTATAGATTAGTTACGTCTCGTGTCCATTTATAGTCATTTGTAAGACTATTTCGCACTGTATGGCACTATTCATCACTAATGAATATTTCTGTAGCTATTATAAACACTCGGCACGTTTGCTTCCTCGTTCTTCATGCTCTTTGTTTGCCATTTCTCGTCCTGTGCCAAATATCCAATGTTTTATTGTCGCTCGTTAGCGCGAATGTTTTTGAATATTTTGTGAATTGCCACAGGTTTTAACTACATTCACAATGTGATGTTCCTGCACTCTAATATTTATGCACCGAATATTTTATGCAGCATGAAATAAAACAGAAAAATTCAAAAGGGTTTTGTGAATATGAAATTCGATATCATTTACCATCACTTGCTGATTAATGTTGTCAGACGAGAAAAAAATTTAATTTTTTAAAATTTCAAAGACTCTTTCATGTGTGTGCGTGTCATAATAGTCCCTAATGCAATATATTCAAGCCAACATCAAAAAATATCATCATAATCATAATCGTTTCTGTTGTTGTCGCATTTATTCAAAAAATAAATCCAAAAACCATTTGAGATATGGTGAGTTGTGAGGAAAGAAGATGAAAATAAAATAAAATAAAAAACGAAATTAATTTTAATCTAATATTTCACATATGTCAAGATCATTAAAAAAGATAAAATCAAAAAATGTGAAAATTTCGGAATATTTCTTTTGATGTTGAATTTGAGTTTGACTGTACATTTAACGAATAAAATATGTATTCATACCCTTAATCTCTATTTCATTCCCTTTGTTAGAACATGAGAAGTTAAATTCTTGTTTTGAATTATTTATTTTGGATGATTCTTTGATCAAATTATGATTCTTCATCTCTGTAAATGACAAATTTTATTTCTTTCTATTCTCCTTCACTCGCTTTATTCATTGTTGAGATAATAAGAACCGAAATGATTAGATGACATGATCAAAATCACATTTTATGTTGTTAAATAAGATTGAATAGAATGGAACAAAGTGATTCTGACAAAATGTGACACTTCTTTGGGGCAATTAATGTTTTATTTGTGCGTTCAGTCGTGAAAAATATTTCGGTTTGAAAATTGTTCGCTTTGAAACTTTTCATATAAATTTAATAATTCATAGATAAAGGAGAATGTACTTAAAACATGGCAGGAGTGTGGTCCTAAGGACCTCCTTGAAAATACAAGATTCTTATAGAAATAATAATTTTTGCAAATAAGTAAAAATTCGAATAATTAAATCTTAATATTCCTAGACTACAAATTGGTTTTTTGTCAAAAAGCGGGACTGTTTCGCTGAAAAGTTAACAGATAACCAGCTCCCCATCCCGAGTGACAGGCCCTCAAGTAAAACCTAAAACCTGCAACTCTCTGAATTGAATTTGGCAACCCATAAAAGTATTTTGATTGCGATTTGAAAAAAATAAGAGAATTTTTTTGTAATTCCAATGGTCAAGGTCATTGTCACTCTTCTGTCACGCTATAGTCCATAGTAAACTTGCTGACTACTCCCCTTTTACATAAAGCTTTATAAAGTTTGAGATTTGAGTAAAATTTCCAATAATAATTATTCACTTATAATCTGATCATATCTAAAATGCCTTAGGTTTTAATAAAGTATATCTAGAAACGAGTTAATCATAAACGATGTCTAAAGAGGGTCTGTAACAATTTGTTCCAATAAAATAAATTGTGGATGAGATTGAAGAAGTCTAAAATTCATGTAATTCATCGACGTCATTTATGAACAACCCTCCAAACTGAAATCAATATTCAGCAATTACCAATCCTATCAGATTTAAAATCGATAAGATAAATAACTTTAAATTCTCTTAGAACACTTTAAGTCCCGTTCTCTAATATTTTAACATAAGTGGCTTATAAGAATATTTAAAATAATTTTGATTATGCAGTTGGTGCATATTGGTTTAAAAAATCAAGCTTTAAATTTTTTTAAATTAATTTTTCATGTATTGTTAAACTTTATTAGTCTCATTATGTGACCGTACCCTTTTGAAATATTTTCTTTCATCCTCCTCTAAGAAGTTCTCAGATACTTAATTAATTTATATGAGGAATTTATTGTTACATCAAAATATGTCTTATTTATTAAACAGAATATTATTTAGTCAATAAATGTAAATAATTCTGATCATAAAGAACCTTAAAATATGTTCCTAAATTACCTTTAAAATTGTATAATGTCTACTCATTTTTCTTTTATCATCCCATGCATCTATTATCTTTCTATTTTATCCAAACAAATCACATTTTTTAACAGATTTCTTCTTTCTTCTCTCTTTTTTGTCATTATAAATACATATTATGCACGAGTATTAAAGAAATCACTTAAAATTGATAATAAAATTTCAATAAAACATGAAAATTCGATATCAACTTGAGATGAGGAGAAAGAGTAAGCAGAATAGATTGAAATATTGAAAACAGCAAAAAAAAGATGTTATTTTATTTTACTTAAAGAGATGAGATTTCATCTTTTTGTTTAGATTGTCTGAAGAGATTCATATCGAGA